CCAAACCCCAAGTTCCACACCGAGTTGCCCCTCCTCCTGCTCAGTGTGGATGAAGGCACACTGACATTTCTACAGGTGGACTGTCCAGGGCATTTCAATACCCGAGGACCTTAGGGTGAGGCAGGAGTTGAGAGAACAGATCTAAACTGAATTTCCTCGATTCACCAGAACTGTTGGAATGGCAGTCATGGGGCTATTGAGAGCGATTCTACTCTTGGATCGCCAGGTGCTTGTTTTGGAATCTTACCGTCTTCAGGAACAGTGTAATTTGCATACTCTGGAAAATAATCTTCGATTTTTGATTTCCCTGCCAAGACTTTCTCCGCCAGCATGTCCTGCTTGTTCAAGAACAAGATGATGGAGATGGTCCGTAACCACCTGGGAAGGGGGAGGAAACACACGTGGGTCCGCGGGATGAGAAGGCACCTCCAGTGCAGGCGTCACCCGCGAGCACAACAGCGCGGCCGCCCCGCTGACGAAGTCCAGGGTGTGGAGTCACGTGCTGCACCAGCACCGCGGGCCCCACTCCGCTGGCAGGAGGAACGTCAACTCCACTGGGAGGCACCTTTCCTGGCACCAAAGCCAAGGTTCACGTAATGAGTAAAGGCACCCGGATTTCTGTGGGGTAATTTACTAATCAAAGGTCAGACAAGCAGGAGGACTTCAAGCTCTAACAACAGGCGACGCAGCATCTGACAGCCCGAGTGCTGGGGTCGCTGAGTTCTCCCTCCGCTGCCTCCGAGCAGGTGGGGGGGCCCTCGGGACTGAGCGGGGGTTCAGGGTCCAGGTCAGGGACTGTCACCTCGGAAGACAAGCCGAGGGAGGGTCTGGGCATGTCCCCTTTAAGGGGAAACACAGACGCTGAGAACCAGCGTGAGACAAGGTCGCCTGTGCAAACCAGCACATTCTAGCCCATTACGTCAAAGGAGCCAGTGGTCAGGGGAACCTGTCACTTCGGAGTTAGGCTGACACGTGGTCGGGGAACTTACTACGAACTAGAAACACCATCCACTTCCTCCCCAGTGAAAACGGCCTGCTTCTTCTAGTTATAAAATACTCCTTGTGAAAATGAATCTTAGTTGTAGAAAATACACAGAAAAAAGTCAAATGTAATCATACCCAGAGATACTGCTATTTGAATTTTTATGTTTTTACTTACAGGTCTTTTTTCTGTCCTCACATATATTTACAAAACTAAGATCATGGTGTTTTTAAATTTGCTTTCTCATTTACCAACATGGTGGCCATTTTCCCCGTGTGACTGCATACATGTATGTGTGCGTACGTGGGTGTGTGGACATCCATGCAAGGATGTATGTGTTATACACATAAATGCATGCACTTCTAATGACTCCAGAGCTTTTCCCTGAGTTCCTCGTATTTCTTGACACATTTTCTTTACCATTAACGGTCTTGGTGCTGTAGAGCTGAGAACAGCTCCCGAACGTTTGGTAGAGAAATACGTTTCTGATAATCCAAACCCCCTGCAAGAAGAGCTGCGGTTTCCTGTGCTCCTTGGTGACACTTCAGAGAGAACTCTGACCTCCACCTGCACAGGGAGGCACTGCGTGTGTGTCTGACGGACAGTAACTAACAGGCGCCATCGCTGCTGCCACCTTCACACACAGTGACCCTAGACTGTGAAGGGTCTCAGGACCATCTAGTTATTCACGGAAGCTTCGAGGGGCACTTCCTAAATTTTAAAAACCAAACAAAACTAACTTTGAACCCTGTGTGATCTCAGGCTCCCCAAACTGAGATTTGGATTCTCTTGACAAAGCAGGATCAGAGCTACATCAGAGAACAGCCCCACCCTCGGTGAATCTGCACATGAGACAGACTGTAGACGTTACCGCCAGGAAGGAAGGCGTCTGGAGGACGGAAGTGAAAGTGAGTGGTGTGGTGTGCACGTCAGACCTGGAGGGACCCAGGCCTCATGGTTTCGTCACCTGTTGTTCCAGATGCTTTCGAAGAGGTCCAGGGACTCACGCAGGCGGTTAGTGTTGTTGTCCTCACGGATGACCATGTTGTAGCTGCTGCAGGCCGCCACGTAGATGATGGCGGTGACATCTGGGGGGGAGGGGGGAGGGAGGCAGGGCGGTTAGAGTGGATCCGGGAGAGAGCCCGCCCCGTGCACACGTGTCCAGGGACCTTGCCCCTCGGGGACCACGAGAAAAAGAGGGTTTCAAGAAGGCGGGGGCCCCTGGGCCTCCCAGACTAGCAAAGGTGAGCGCGAGCTCCGGGTGCTCGGCTCACGTATCTGGGGGCTCATGCTCAGGACGTCTCACAGGGGAGCGGACTGAAAGCTACGTAAGCACAGTGGCAGGACGGAGTGTGTGCATCCCCATTTCTAGAGATGGAGCGTGGAAATCACCGTTGAAGCACTGAATCCATTTTCTTCTCTCGTCCCTCTGGCCTCCGACATCAAACATGCTGCGGGGGACATGGGGGTCAGTTACCCGGGGAGGGAGGGGCTGCCTTCTTCGCTCCCCAAGGGACCTCACAGACTGGGGCCCATACCCTGAAACTTCCCCAGGCCTGACCCTTGCCCTGAAGTCAGCAGCCCGTGGGCACCCCTCTCCTCCCACTGGCCCAGAGGCCCCCGCTGCCTGGCCTTCTCCAGCTCAAGACGCCTCCCGCCCACATCCTGCTGGGACTTCAGGATGGTCACGCGGTCTGGGCGTGGCAGTGATGTCTGTCCCGGCTTCCTTGGTGCCCAGGCCGGTCCCCTGACCCCACGCCTGGGGCCCCGCAAGAAGGGCCCTGCCCACGTCCCCGCAGAGGCTCCTCTACCACACACTTACTGAAAGTTGACTTTGTCCACTTGGAATCGAGTCTCAAAAATCCCTGACGTCAGAACTCTGCACCTGAGAAGGTCCTGGGGGCAAGAAGAAAAGCAAATACCCCGATCCAGAGGGGCAGGCCGGGGGCCATGGGTCATCGGGAGTTCAAGTCACACCCCCTTCCGCGCAAGAGACACAGTAAGTAAAAACTCAGACGGGCCGTCTCAGTCCCCAGAGGAAGACACGCGGACCACGTGGCCCCGGAGACCAGCGGCCGCGCCGCCATCCTCTGTGGGGGTTTCTCCGAGCCGCTCAGGACCGCTTCCCACTGCAGCACGTCCCGACCACCAGCTGCCGCTGCGCCCGGACGCCGCCCACTCGGGGTCACACTCTTGGGTGAGAAGCCACAGAAGCGACCCTCTGCAGTCAGGGACCATGAGCTTCCTGAGCGGGATACTGGCTGCCTGTGGATGGGCCCCCTCTGCTCTGCCTGTGCCTGCTCCCGAGGGAAAGGCCGAGGTGCTCCCGAGGCGGGAGAGCCGTAGCTTCACGAAGCTGACCACGCTGCACGCTTGTCACGTGTCACCTAACCCAGCGGGATGTTAACCTCCCTCCGCCTCCACAATGCTTCCAGCAGTGGGGAGGGGCCACCTCTCAGCCCGAAGTGTTCTGACGGACCAGCACGACCAGCTCAAGATTGGGAAGTCCCGACAGCTCCATCAGCTGGGTGCTTCTGAGCTCCCGGGACCACCTCCCAGAGGGATGGACTCAGGGGACGGCGAGGAACTCGGACCCCTGGGGGCAGAGAGCCTCCAGGAGGGGCCCCGGCCCACGGGCCCCCCCGAGGGGACAGGGACACCAGGAGTGTTGGAGGGTCAGTTTGAGCAGAGACCCTAACCTCCTTGGGGTTCACTAGCTCG